ACTTTAACCATTAGGCTACCCCACCGCCCCTAACATATATGAAACAGACATTGTTATCATTGAATTTCTTCTGTGTAAACTTATATAAAGTTCTAACAAAAAGTTAAAGATCATGCAATTAAACAACAAACATAAAGCTGACTGCCTGTTCACAAGGCTTCCAAGCAGTTTGGAAATAGCTACTGCAACACCAAAAATGTTCAAGTAGTACCTATACGATATAGTTTGACATCAAGACATAACTGTACACAACATACAACCATTGTGGATCAGTTTCACAAGTAGACCAAGCAGCATGTGTTAAGTCGTTCATACCTGATACAAGCTAGGACAGGAAAGGAAAACAAACTCATTAAGAAACTGAAACATCAAGGTGTTGTCCCTGAATCAACAGGAGTGTCATCAAGGTTGTGGTTTTGTATATACATACTGCAGAACCCTGCTTATCTGGACTCCAGGGTGAGTGAGACTAGTTTTTGCTGCTTTAAACAATATTTCAGAAATATAAATTCAGGGGACACCAGAAATGGGCTATTCATATCGTACCCATGTAGAGAATCGAACCAGGTCTTTGTCATCACAAGCGAACGCTTTAACGACTAGGCTACCCCACTGCCCCTCAGGGCCTCCTTTCACAAAGCACTAAGGTGATCGTAAGTCACTAAGTTAACCTTAGTAAAAGAATGGGAATTAAGGCTAACCTTAGTGCAATGTTAAAGAAGGGGAATTAAGGCTAACCTTAGTACAGGTTGCTTCGTGAAAGGAGCCCCTGGTCTCCAGAAACCTCACCTACCGGACAACATTTTCATAAAACCAAACATTTACCACATAAATTCTTCAATCATGCGAACAGTAAATTTAAATTATCAACAGTGCAGATTACTATTGGATCCCACTTGCCAAACAGAGACCATCCTTGATAAGTTTTTTTCTGTCATTCATCACCTAGTGTCCAACATTAGAGGAACAGGTATCAGAATTCAATGTTAATTTAATCCTCATATTCCACATACCAGAAATAAAAAGTATTCATTGTATATCTGGACAGATGTTTGTGATTTATGATATTAACTTTATTCAAGATTTCATTCAATATTGTTCATCAAAATTGTGAGTGACTTCCTGAACTCACCAGATTTTATACACCAGATTATTGCTACTTGTGACTATGGCGACCTAGCTGTCAGGGTATATGATATAACTACCCTACTCTCATGTTAAGGAGTTATATTTGTTGTTGGGAGACTAATATATCCAACAAGTGCCCCGATAAGCAAGGTTGCACTGTATTACAGGGGAATATACTAGGACTACACAGTATTACTGGTATATCGTAATATGCTTTTCAAACGATATGTATTGCAATATTTCTTCTGAGAACCAGTATATTGGGTAAAGAACATATATCAGTTTTTGTGATTATCTTTAAGGTTTATATGAAAATATACACAGACTTTCATTCACAACAAATGTTTTCCTTCATTATACAATAACAAAACTGTAATACTATAAATTGTATAAAAAAGAAAATAGAATCCTGGCCCTGATTTCTCGAAACAAACTTAAGTTTTTACTCAAATTTCAAACTGAGTTTGACAATTTGAAACAGCTGAATTTTTAGCTCTACTGCATTTTTTTAAATAAAAATTCCCAAACAACTTAAGTAACCTATCCACCAAACTCAAATTGTCTACTAAGTCTGAGTTTAATATTGATTTCAGTTTATTCTGGGAAATGCATTTTCCTGTGTTTTCTCAAATTTGAGTACAATCTCTGACTTAAGTCAAAACTCAGACTTAAGTTGTTTCGAGAAATCGGGGCCTGGTTATGCAACCTAAGTTTGAGAATGCTGTTATCAGAACCATAACATATGTTTAGGGACTTTTAATGTAGAAAACAACATTGACAAGCACAATCAGTGTCACTCACTGTCAAACACTTAAGCTCCCAATATATCGCAATACGTATCGCAATGGGGATCCTGATACAATACAATACAATTTATTTGCCAATACACAGCCCTAGTACAATGTAAATACAAGACATACATACAGAGATGCCAACCCTGAATCAAGGCAATAAAAAATATGTGGGATTAACAAGGTCTACATCAGCAACAGCATAATATAGACATTTTTTTTATCCATGGGGGAATCAAACCTGGCACTTCGGCATGAAGAGCAAGGGCTTTAACCACTAGGTTACCCAACCTTCACTCTCACAAGTTAGAATCTTTCCCATTACAAACTGAACCATGCAATCATATCATATATATATTTATAATACAAATTATTGAGTGTTTATAGTGACAATGCACGTAACAGATCATTATCTGAAGTGCACACTAAGTTCTTTCAACCAAATGTGACTTACAAATGATATATCCCTTCATCATATGAAAGGATTCAGTTTTAAAATTCATAGTTATTTCACTGAAGTCTTTCATTATGGTTGGCATCTCTGTCGATCATCAAATGTATAAGATGCCTCTGGAGGAGTATCAAGATTATTTGTTGTTTTTGTGTTTCCAAGACAGAACAGTAACACTTAAAGCTACATATGTACAATGGTTGTCAGCTGGGTAACAATGTCCAACTACACAAATAGAAGCAAACTACTGCAACATTCATCACACGTTCGTTGTTCAACGATGTATTTGATTTTATTCGATGACTACTTTTACTGTGACCTTGGTTCAGGTTTAAATGTTGTATAATGATTTCAATAACACGTGAGAAAAAAAAAAGATACGATAAAGCACAAATATGAAATTATAAGTTGACAGAAATTGACCCACAACCAACTTTGGGAATGAGTAAGTTTGGTTTTACGCCACTTTTAGCAATATTCCAGCAATATCACGGCAGGGGACACCAGAAATGGGCTTCACATATTGTATCCATGTGGGGAATTGAACCCGGTTCTTTGGCGTGACGAGTGAACACTTTAACCACTGGACTCCCCATTGACCCACTTTTGGAATGATACAAGTGACAGTAAGAACTGAAATATAGTAAACAAGTAGTTTTATAACACATAACAACAGGCAATAAATTGCCATCAAATGTAACAAAAGGGAATATTAAAAAAAGGAATGCACATATATATATAACGGAAAATATTTTAACATAAACACAAATATTGCACAAGATAAATGTAAACACAAATATTGCACAGGATAAATGCAAATAAATATCTATAAGAACTGTTACTGCAGATGCAATATAAAAGTTATCACAAAAGTGAGCAAATCACATTCACAAAGTGAAATGACTCACAAATCTTTGTCAAAAATGACATCATTATAAAGTTAAATTCAATTAGCAATACTATTCATAAGAACTATCACTGCAAATGCAGTTACAATACAACAAAAAATTGAAAATTTTATAATAAATTGTATATCTATATACTTATCCTATCTCAGGGTATGCACCATCTCTCTCATCTACGACCATGTGTGGAAACGTGCTGTCAGCTAAGTTGAGTTAAATCTAACTGGCCTCTGACCCGCCCTGACCTCTGCCCTCACCCCGACATCAACGCCTGTCAATCATCCACCAAACCGTGCAGCTCACCCAAACGATCACATGACCACCTCTACCTGTCATTTTCTTTCTTATCGCCACGTGGTCGTAGAAGAGAGAGATGGTGCATACTGTGAGATAGGATAAGTTCAAAGATTTGTCACAAAAGTGAACAAATAATCTTCAAATAGTGACGTGACTCATTAGATCTGTGTCCAGAATAGCACTGTCACTTCTGGCCTAAATATCTTGACATGCATAATATATGTGAACGATAAACTGTCAACTCATGTAACATGGTACTCACTTGGAGCAGTCGATGAAAGTGAAAACTGGTCAACAGAAACAGAAATTAAATCACAATGAAAACTGAGGGCTGGTATGGGGGAAATTTTAGGAAAAATAGGCTTGAATGAACACTGAATGTGTATGGTTTCTCTTTACAGAACAACAGCATTACTCTGGTAATTCCCCCATCAAAGACACTAAGAGTAAACTCTCCTATCACCTGAACATTAACTCATCTCAGTCAAATAGGAAAACAAAAAGTGATAGATAATCCATCAGTCCTCGCTTGGGTTACATTAAGGACATTTTCTCTATGTTGACAATGTTTTCCTTGGCCTCGGGAATATAGTTATATTTATGTGAAACTGTCTCTCCGATAGTACTGGTTCTGTGGAAGAAACATTGATCTTTCTGCTGTTAATGTTTTATGTTCTTTGATGTCACTTGAAAGAAGGTTTCACCAACATATAAGTCAGTCTATTCAAAATTAATCTAAGATTATTCCTTTGCTGGGTTGCTTGTTTTAACTTCAAACAGCCCAACCAACCAGCCCTCTCTGACCACCAGCAAAAGTGCCCCAGCGATCAAATTCCATCTGACAAGGTCCAAAGCCTTTCTACCAAAAATCAGACTTCATAAAGTGGAAAGTCTCATAATTCTAGGAAACCACATAAACATGATACGATTGTGTCATGCAATAACAGATTCACCACAATATTGGGATTGAACCAGGTCATGTCGTCGGATGTTCTTTACAACTCGCTATATAGACTCATAAATCAATCTTAGTAACAAGGAATGTCTCAGTTTTAATAGTTTGCTTACGTTTTCACATTTTTGGTCCAACTAAATGCACTGTTTATTTCTCCATTGTCTGTCATAAGTCCATAATCTGGTTGCACTAACTTGCTGAATAAAAACACATGACTTGAAATGAGGCATAAACATTTTAGTTGCAGATATTTTAAGATGAACTCTACTGTAAGTGAGACATACCTGTCTCGCCAACTGTGTCACTACTACTGCTGAACCTCAAGTCACTGTAAACCTCACAAACATATATTTACATGTACATTTATATCAGTTTTCAGAAGTAGATTTTATCATTCAGCTAACTATTTGTAAATGTGATCATCTGAAGTTCTAGGCCCTTTCTTAAAAGATTCCTTACACAAACATAACCTCTGAATGAAGAAACATGATTGAACAGCTTGGTTTGTTCTATTGCTTGCAACACTCTTCTGCTGATAGTTCAGTGTCTCTACTCCTACGCACTTCATAGCAGTCTCTTGAAACTGTGGAAGAGGAAGTGAACGATGAAGACGAGAGAGACTGTAACAATAGACGACTGTGACATCCTTGTCGCGATGTCAAACACAGTGGGGTCATACTCGAAGCAGTTGGTGCCTTCAACCACTTGGAAGTTTTGGGCTTCACAGAAAGCTGTTCCATTTTGATACTTGTAGCCTGAGAACAAGGACAATACACAATGTTAAAGGTTCCTTAGAACAGGAAAGTCAATATCAATAAATTAACATCTTTTAATCTATTAGTGAGTGAGTGTAGTTTTATGACGCACTCAGCAATATTCCAGCCATATGGCGGAATATATGAAGATCTGACAAACTCCTTTACACAAAGATTGACAGGTGGACCATATGGAAAATTTCAGAATTTATAGGGTGTAAGTATTTTTGAATCCGCGGGGATTCAGAGAGTGAATGAACATGGCGGTTCCAATATGGACTCAATGTTTTGCGTTTGTAAATCCAGGGCACTTACCGATAGTGTCCCCTTCAAAGGAGGCTGTCTTGCAGTCTTCATACAGTGAATCACAGTACTCAGAACACACCATCAACTTGCTGGAATGAACAAAGTAGGGTCAGAAACATAATATGTAAACTCGACTTGATTCATGCTAAAAATTCTCACCGGTGACAATGGGAATAATATGCATCAATACAACTGTCTTTATTTATCCATTTCTATGTAAAAATAGAATGATCAAACTATGAGAAAATAATCAAATTGTGGCTTAAACTAATCCCTAATTATAGACCAACTAAGATTTCTACAAACTCTGGCACAGAGTAAGCAATTAAAGATTTCATTAATAATTTTATGAATACGTTTGATTTCAAAGGGACACCTTTTAGAAATGGTGAAACAAAGTTGGAGAAACAATTTGTTTGATATAATTAAATGTTATTTTATTGTTTATTCATATGTATATGTTGTGTCTTTATCTACAACTCATAAATCTTGATTTAAACAAATTTTCATTTAAAAAATACTGATTTGTAGAAATTCAATTATGCATATCCAATGTGGCCAAAAGTGTTCTTATCACATCATTTCCTTAATAGCTAACTGGGGCGGTGGGGTAGCCTAATGGTTAAAGCGTTGGCTTGTCATGCCGAAGACCCGGGTTCGAATCCCCACATGGGCACAATGTCTGAAGCCCATTTCTGGTGTCCCCTGCCGTGATGTTGCTGGAATATTGCTAAAAGCAGCGTAAACCAAACTCAGTCAGTCAGTAATAGCTAACTGTGTAAAGAATAGCAGGGTTTGTCAAGGGGAATGTTCCATGTACAAACAGGACATTGTCCTTCCAAAAACTGGACAGACAAATACAATACATCCGAATAAGACAAAAGCTAAAATTTATTGGCACTTTTGTCCCTTAGCATGTTTTATTTTGTTCCAGTTTTGCAAACTTCACAACCAGGACACGATGACTTGCATGAACCAAGTCAAGAAATCTGCCCACCCAATCTCCTGTGTCACTCTTGCGTTGGTTGGTTTGTTGATAAAGTTAACTCCCCACTTAACAATATTCCAGCTATATGACAGCAGTCTGTAAATCATCGAGTCTGGACCAGACAATCCAGTGATCAACATCATAAGGATCGATCTATGCAACTGGGATACGATGACATGTGTCAACCAAGCCAGCGGGCCTGACCACCAGAGCCTGTCAGTCGCCTCTTACGACAAGCATGGGTTACTGAAGACCAATTCTAACCCGGATCTTCACGAGTGTGACTTTTATGACAAGCATGGATTGCTGAAGCTGAATTTGAACCCAACCAGACCCAATCTGCTAGTTTGTGGCAGGTGGTAAGGTAATGCTAGCTGTTCTAATTATATGCCTTGATTAATGTAAAACCTTATTGACAGTACTTTCTTAAAATCACTACAGAATGAATCAATACATGAGTAAGCCAACTGAGTATCACACAGGTTGTAGTGTGTTTAGTTTTATGCCTCACTCAGCAATATTCCAGCTATATGACTCCGGTTTGGAGATATTCAAATCTGGACCAGACAATCCAGTGATCAACAGCATGAGAATCGATCTACATAACTGGGAACCGATCACATGTGTCAACCAAGTCAGCGAGTCTGACCACCCGATCCCATTAGTCACCTCTTACAACAAGCATGGGTTACTGAAGATCAATTCTAACCCGGATCTTCACGGGTCACACAGTTTGTAAATTTGTGAGGCATTAGTGGATAATCAAAGAAACGGGGCATCAGTGACTTACTCCCTGTAAAAGAGGTACTGGTCTGGGCTACAGAAGTAGCACATTAGATAGTTCATCTGGAAGCGGCATATCTTGGGGGCCTGATGAAGGGGATACATGCTGGAGAACACTGATGTCACCTCTGTGCGCTTGCAGCAAGCCTGGTTTGAGTACCAGGAACAGTTGATGAGACCTGGAGATGGGGCTGCAAACCGCTTATCATCTTTAACCAAGGAAATAAATACATCAGTAAAAATATGAGATCAAATAGTGGCACTGATACTAGTTCTATTACTGGTAGCTGTTTGAAACTTTTGGGGGGATAGTTTGGGAGTACTTACTGCACTGACGGATGCTTAGATGAAATGTGTTTTAATCCAAATGGATAGTATCGGATTACTCTGATATGGTAAGACCCAAGGGGTAAAACAGTAAACCGCGGTATTATTAGAACTGCTCTATTTTGCCTTCGGTTTGGTATACAGTAATGCTGCTTTATTATGCAATCCGAAAATTCAGAGTTTTGGGTTTTCATACTGTCATTTCTATCTTGTCATAAAATGACAGTTTTGTTCATGCAAAGAGTATGGTTATTTTTTTCCATGTTATTAACCACTGTAAGGTTTGGCTCTTGTTGTCATATATCTCATATACCTAACCGAATCAAACCGATGGCCACGTACCGCAGCACGTACCGTACCCTGGTAAGAGTGAAACGATCCCAACCCCGCTAAGCCTAAGGATCGTAATGAGATCTGATGGCACTGGAGGTCATCGGAGCGCCCGATAAACTGCATTCCAGCTGATGGTTTAATCATATAAACATAAGCTGTTTTTCATAACACCCTGGAGTGATTGTACAAATGTAAGTTTACTCAAATTCAAATGCTTACAGAAATATGGGCACGGTTTCTTTGACAACTCTTCATAATGTATTTCTTCCGATGCACTTTTCCCAGCAAAGCAGGTTATGACTAATATACAAATGCACACGCCCCCAGCGGCACCAGTTAGGGGTAACATTGTAAAATTTACGTCTTCCTATCAACCAGAAATCGTCTATTGATCAGCTGCTTCCATTTTGACTACACTTTTGACAGAGAACTTAAACTTATACCATTTTACGGAAACGAATTATATTTTCCATTGTTATTACCAAGTAAGACTTATACCAGTTCGTCATATATTTAAACATTATTAACATCTAACATCTTAGTTTGCACTTAATTGATGAGAGCGATTTTTGTTAAACATTATCATCACATTTCAATATACGGCGGGTTTCTTTCCACATACAAGTTTTGTACGCACCCGCAACTTCCGCCTGCCTGTCACGTGACCAACTTCCGCATTTGTCGTCAGGCAAGGCGAACCGAACCGTCAGCAAGGGTTATCGAAACCGGGGGAATCCGTATTTCTAAAAAATCCCGGTCTATTTTCGTCGATTATATGGATCCAGACTGGCCAGTCTAACAGCAAAGTTATTTCAAACGACTGTCAAGGTAGAGGCATAATGGTTAGTATGAGAAATAATACTGGCTTTGAGAGACTTGAACTAAAGCAAGATACTTTAGGATGACACATATTTACTGAATACATGTCCGGGTATTGAGATGGGTACCCTCGGGTCCAACTCATTACCCACCCGTCCCAGCCATAGATGACAACTTCTTTATTATGTACATGATGCAACGTTTCAGTATAGATTCTTATGCCGTTGTTTAGCAAGAGTGAAGTGCTATAGACTTACATGTATACATCAACAGTGATTAAGAACAACATGTACTCAAGTAAGGCAGAGACGGGTCCAGATTTTCTGCCCGAGTACCCCAACCCCTATTACTCTCCCCTACCCTCAAATTTGTAAGAAATGGCAATATATTCTTCAGCTCAGAGGCTAAAATTTTGAGTTTTTTCGACACCTTAACCATGTACATTCAAAACATGTGACTGTAAATTATGTTTAAATCTTTAACCCCCTGGCTGCCGAGTTGTTTTTCAGGCGCACATTTTCATACAGTTTGAAAAGTAACGTTGTGCGAGATTTGCGCTTGTGTGGTCCTGGCTCTACATACGGCTATAAAATTACACAGAAATGTAGAATATGAAATTTCCTATCCGTTGGTATAAATATAAGTGCAACTACCTCAGCGGTTTGAGAAACAGACCTTGCTAAATGTTATCAAATTTTTGTTATCGTTTAAAAACAGTAAATTTCTCTGCTTTTATCGTGCACCGATAAAAGCACTGTGCTACGAATTTTTTAATTTGGCATCTTTACGGAAAGTGTGAGAGAAGAAAATACAGCCTGATATCTGAACAACATAAGTGTATATGAATTGGATTTATGTGCTTGTGCATAACGTTATAACTCAACATTAAAAATGACTCGTAATAAATGTTAAAAATGGATTTTCTTCTATGACGTCAAACTACAGCAGAGAGGTCACACACGTATACTGATAAGGGGGCATAACTCTGTTATGCTTATCACTAAGTCAGTGTAACTCAGATCACTTGGAGAGAATTTGTACTTGTGGATACGGACGCTATATTTTCGCTATTTTTTGTTTTCGGTGAGCCAAACTATTCCAATTGAAAGTTCCCCATTGTGAGCGGATACGCTTTGGTAGTTTCGATATTTTTAAGAAAAGATGACACCGTACTACATGTGAAAGCACGTAATAGCGATTTGAATAGCCCTATCTGATATATAAGTTAGTTCTTAGATTCCCATATTCTCCTGTTTGTGTAGATGTATTTTGACTAATTTTGCATCGTTATTACCAGAATACTAGCCATATCTTCAAATGTAATGAATTGCTGAAAATAATACAACGTTTTAGTTGACATCATTGCTTGTTTTATGTATTTTGTGACGTCGGAAAAAGATGACATTGGTATGCTGAATAGTATATATCTCACCTAATTTCCATTAATTGTATAAAAGGTCTCGGCTTCTATGTCAGAACACAAAATGACTGATTTTTCCATTTAAATAGTGTCCTGAATATATCAACAATTCGACGGTTTGACTGTGTATCTTTTTAGGATAAGAATTTTCTTTGTTTAGGATTACGTAGCTATTTCTCTACATAACTATGAAATGAAAGATGCAAAAAGATAGCATTTTATATGGAACTATATATTGGAATATGGATGTAATGTTTCTCCAAATTAAGACATGACATGGTTTATATATTTTTAAACAATTTTCTCATCAATGTAGTTAGAGTTTGATATCCTGTCATCACAATATCTTTTAATCGAATACGAATTGATTATATTATTGAAAACAATGATAGTGAATCATAATCACGTTTCCAACAAACGCGCCCCTGGCCAATCAATATACATCATTGTTTTGTCTATAAAACAACACAAAAATATGCAATGAACAAGACATTTCCTTTAAATATGTGTGCATATATATTTCATAACATATATACATCATTTTCATTAATATTATTAGTTTTACTTATAAGGTTGAATTAAATCGCCATTCATTAACCTGTTTGTATGAAACTGCAATATTAGTCCAAATACATTGAATATTGTACATCATAGGAACTAAAGTAGTTGCAGTTATGGCTATGTTTGATCTTCTAACACTTGTGTAAAGGTTTAGAATATGGTGTACTGCACTAAATGTGTCAATTTCTTATGTAAATATTATTCAAACAATCAAAAACCTTCAAAGAATAAAACACCGTAAACCCTATATGCACATATAATATGATATTGAACAAGGCTAAATGTAGATACTGAGGTCAGTTTCATGAAAAAGTATCTGAACTACAGTCAAATCCCGATGAGTCGAATCGCTGGGGACCAAGTAAAAGATTCGGCTTATCGATGTATTCGAGACATAGGTATGTCTATGAGGGTAGAATAAAAAGATGATTCAATATTGAACAATTCCTTTATTCAGCACATCATATCTAAATATAGCACAACAATACATTAGGTGACATAGATAATGGATAATAATGGATAATGGAAACAAACATTATACAAATGAGAACACATTTTAATACTAGCACAATAAAAACGTTCGTTGTTTGTACCTGGAACCGACTCGAGAAATTCCTCCAGTCCTTCACAGAACTTTATCGCTTCCGATACGGATGTTGGTGGTTTGACGGCAGGGTGTGTCTCGTCTTCTTCATCAGACGAGTCGTCGTTGTGACAGGTGCTAATTCTTCCGTTTCCGTAAAATCACTAATCTGCCTTTTGAACTCACCCGACAATAGCGGAAAGGTGCGAGCCGAGCTGGTTTGTTAATTGGATCAGTTACATGTAGTTGGATCACCAATTAACTTCTCATTGACTGACTTCGGCTTATGTATACAAGATTACTATTGTTTGAATCTCAAGGGACCAAATTTCCATTTTGAGTCATCGTGTGTATTTATGAGACGAATTCGTGTAACCGGAAATCAAATGATGACAAAAATAGCAGGGAATGGTCGGGACCCACAGGTACTTCGTGTTATGCATAATATTCGAGACACCGGCATTCGACTCATCGGGATTTGACTGTATATGCAAAATATACACCTTAATACTGACAGTGTAATCGTAAGGATTGGGCGATTGTTTTTACTCTTGTTCAACCGACCTTCACCTCAAAGAAATTACCTAATATGTACAACAATGTTGACGTATGACATCACTACCATTGACCGATTTCTTACCAAATAGCGGCTTTGCTGACAAGGGTACACGGGATTTTGCGAGGACCCTTCCATTGATTCAGGGATCGTTTGTACATAAATATGAGATGTAAGTAATCAGAATGAGCCTGACTATCTGTGTATTGTTATATGTTTTTATCGTTCTCATTATAGGTAAGAGAAGAAGCCAAAAATTCAGATAATTACTGTTGTCGTTCTGCGTGATTTTGCGTCAGTCATTGCATCACACTGCACGAAAACTTTGACAATTTCTTATGAATTATCAAATCATTGCATTGTATCTATTTATAATTTCCTTTATCTTGCTACGATGCTTCAAACAAGCGCAGTCTTTCGAGCACAGCGTTCATTTTCACACCCATTATGTTTCATCTCATTTTATCTAGACAGTGGGTATTGGTGAGAAAGACCAGTTGCAGTTGATTCTAAAATGTATGGGGAGTTAAGTGATGCATTTTTCGAAGCTGAATATGAAATATACATGTTTTTATTTGAGAATATTGTTGGTTTTTGATTGCTCCTCTACATCCCCGAACTGGGAACGGGACGGCTTTGATTCAGAACACACAAAACACAACGCAAAGCATCATGGTCATTTGTTGTTAAGGCCGTTCCGTTACAATGTAATAGGCGTCTCAATACCGGCCTTTGCGAAACATGATTTTGTAAACACTATCCAATATGGCAGAAAGCACTCTCTCACGTTAAGTGTTAGTGTATTTTCGAAAACATCCCAACCGATTCTAGATTCATCGACAACGTTTCAGAATTATCATTAGCGATTTCATGTAAAACTGATATCAGTGATAATGAATATGTTATATTTGAAATTCAATACTCCCAGTAATTATCCGATTTTCACATTTCAAAACATACAGCAAATAACGCTGTGAATCGCAATTTCGTATTGTGTCAAAAATGGCGACATTTTCAATGAAGCCTATTTTAAAAGGTCATTTTCAGCACTTGAGCGGTGTCTAAAATAATAGTGGATGGTATCAAGAAACAGGAAAATTCCCGCAGAATTCGAAACAGTGAAGTGTATTTGTGTGCGAGGGATGTTTTGATTTTTATTGGAGTTCAAATTGAGGGTTGAAGGGAAGGACATATATGTCCCTGTGGCACCCAGGGGGTTAAAGACTAAACAACCTTTAAACATGAAGAATAACATATTCTATTGTTTAATCTATTGGTCACATGGGAGCACCTTTAGAATACAGCACCACAACTTCCGTGAGGACGATCTCATTAGGACAAGCAACCAGCTTGTGAGAACCCTTCGGACGCGAACCTGCGACCTTAGTATTGTTAGCTCTACAGCTAACCGACTCAGCTACGTCCACACTGTTACACTATGTGCAAATTTATCGAGTCATTCCTGTGATGTCACGGAAATGAACGGAAAGAGTTGAATAGGTCAGAGACAATTATGAAGGTTACGGGTAGACTTGGTGTCTCGTGATTTTATTATACGGACAATTGCTGAATGGAGCCGATGCCATTTGGCACACTCGTCCCATTCCGTAATCTACAAGATACCGTGTGGCGTGGATTTCACGGTGCATGCATGATTGACACACTTTTATATAAATCGGGTGATTTTGTCACAGAAAAGTGATGTAGGGAACACTGTAAGGATAATGTGGATCGCACTAAGGAACGAGGGAGACATGAGCATGTCTAGTGACGGCACGAGGGTGAGTTAGCCTTCGAATCATTACTAAACAAAATTTTAATGTTGAGTGTGAAAGAGGCTTGAGTGCAAATTCCAGGCCAATTTCGATTGGCCCCAAATTTCTACATGAAACCATTTCATAGT